CATTGACATTTGCAGCACAAAATACAGTACAAATTTGAATCAATCTGACGGGCCTAAGAAATCAGGAATAAAAAAGAGATAAAATAGTTACGGGACAAAATATTAAGAGCAGCATGTATGCAACCTAAAAAAATACTTATTGAATCTATAATTTAGCAAATACTGTACAGTAAAATGTGCTTAAAGTAGGTTACGTAATTATTAAAGCAGAAATTCTAAAATGTATTAATTTGATATGAGAAGTATCCACAACGATGAAGTGCATTTCTTCTTTAAATAGCATACAATGATTTATGCATGATTCAGAGGAATTTCTTCCCACGATTACTTACGCAATGTTTTTTCCTGTGCATAAACGTGATGTGCGTTTATATATTAATTTAATTTATGTGCATCGTCGTCATTGTCAGCCATTGTCTATCTACTTCTGGATGAAGGAATGTTCACCGTCATCATCTCTCATGGCCCTACAATGCCACAATTCATCCCGCTCCCACACACGCACTTAACTCGCTGTTCTTTCTCCTTCAACACACACACGCACATAAAACAGCATTGATATGAATTGCTGCTACTGCTGCAACACTAGAAGCTAACATACAGCGAATGTATACGCGAGGTGCTTATTACTGATCGTGAAATGAATCACATTCAGGTCTTTCTCTGGCCACTACTGGATGAGGGCCTGTTGTTTGGGGATTGATTTGACCATACTTCACCACTCTGGTCATTTTAGCTTGGCGAACACAGGATCTTCGACGGCGGAGCATAGTATAGTACAACAATGTAATTTGCTGCACTATACTCTGTTGACAATAAGTCCTCACAGCAGCCGACAGCGCTTGTTTCATGCAGGGAGATGGGTCATCAAAGCACTACCCAGGCGCTATCCAGATTAACACCTGCTTAGCTTCCCAGATCTCGTGAGATTGGGCAACGTCATGGGTGATTTGGTCAAAGGCTTCACGCGGAATACGCAGGTTAGTGAGACCCTGGTCACTTATTAAAAGAGAATTGTAAAAATACGAATTATTTGATTTGTGCTCCTGGAGGCATTTACTTTGGAGTTATTGGACTGATAGGAGATGAAACCTGAACGCAAACTGGTGCGGCAAGTAGAAAACGCAGAGTGCGTATGAAATGTAATCAATTTCAGTAACTGTTTTTGCATGTAACTAGAAGAGTCACAGAGAACCTGGAGAAATTGGTCATGCGAGGAATAATTGAATGGAAATGAGCTTTAGGTGACTCTGAAGCTAGATAGTGACTGGATGATGGAGTAGAGAAGCTTACCTGGGGAAAACGGGACAAGATTGAAGGAGGAAAGCCAAGAGCATGAGACCAGGGAATGCAATCTGCCACAAGAATCACTGAAGGTCGATAACGACTTCCAGACAACAAGCGGACGGACAAACAGATGGACGGACGGACGGACGGACTAACTAACGATGTTTCATCTTAATTAGAAGCTTTCGTGACTGCAGGAATCCATACTTTTTGGTTCTTTCGGTCAAGTCACGTAGGTAGAAAATAAAATAAATCACGACGTTTCGGGCGCAACACAAGCGTCCGTCATCAGGTGCTTTCCCACCTGATGTGACTTTGCCGAAAGAACCAAAGAGTAACGATGTTTTATTCCGATTTAAAGCTTTCGTGACTGCAGGGATTCATCTTCTTGGTTCTTTATTTTCTTTTCCATTCTACGTGACTTTACCGAAAGATGTTTTATTCCTGCAATGAGAAGCGAACGACGTTAGACCGACCCCCCCCTCCCTCTTTAAAAAAATGAATCTACCAGAAGTTGATAAATGTATTCAATTTGATGGATACCCATTTGTATGTTTGTGTGCTGAACTTCCATCGAGACGTACATATCCAACCACGTTGATAGCATGGGTGGAAAAAACTCAATTTTTCCAGCGACAGGCATCGGGTTTTTTTATTTAATACAATTAAACCCGATTTCGGGGAATTAAAACCTGGTTTAATGAATACGAAACTCTGATCCAAGGCTTAGGCTGCTTCCTCGTCGGTGCTGCTATCGTACTCGGGGGGCCGTCGGGCACGGAGTAGTCGTAGAATGCGGCGGGCAGGTTGGTCTTGATGAACACGAGCTTCTCCTCCACAATCGTGGGCGCCAGTGAGTTCCTTAGCTTGGAATGGATGAAGCCCATCGTTGAGAAGTGCGGTTCTGCAATTAGAACCAATTAAACCGGATTTATCCCAATCTCAGATGATCGGGTTTAATATAAAAAGACAATTAAACCCGATTGTAAAAAACCCGACTGTGCCACCCTTGGTAGACAGCCGATGTCAAAGCATGTACTATGTACGTGGTGTGTCGCTATCCGTGTCGCTTGGAATGGTTGTGGTCAGGCAAGACTGGCTCTGGGGCAGCAGTCCGGGCAATTCCAAATGTGATTAAAGTAAAAAATAAAAAATATTGTATTACCTCTGATGTGCACGCTTCATTGCTTATATAATCTCTCGGTTGGCATTAAAGTCCCCACTTTCGGCAGCCCCAAAGATTCATCCTCACCGGCCCATTTTTTTTTTTTTTGGACCATCCCAAATGGTACCAATGAGATCGCACAGCAAATTTGGGCCCTGTGTGTTTACAAATGCCTGCTCCGAATTTTAGTCCCAGCCCATCGCTGGTTGTTGGGGGCCAGAATCAGAGGTCGCAACCGGGTACCCGATACCCGTACCCTACCCGATACCCGGCTACCCGTACCCGGCTACCCGTACCCGGTGCGGCCGGGTACGGGTAGACCGTGAGTCACTGGTGAGTAACTGTTTGTCACTCATTTCCCAACGTCTTGTCTCTTCTCACAATTCAAGTTCCTAGAATCAACCCACCCGCGCCTGCAACATGGCTTTATCCCAGAGGTCGCAATCAGGTACCCGATACCCGTTTGCGACCCTGGTGCGGCCGGGTACGGGTAGACCGTGAATCACTGGTGAGTAACCGTTTGTCACTCATTTCCCAACGTCTTGTCTCTTCTCACAATTCAAGTTCCTAGAATCAACCCACCCGCGCCTGCAACATGGCTTTATCCCAGAGGTCGCAATCAGGTACCCGATACCCGTTTGCGACCCTGGTGCGGCCGGGTACGGGTAAGGAATCAAAACCCGTTTGCGACCTCTTGGCCAGATCCTTAAACTAACACCAATAACAACACCAATCCAATCAAGCGCTAGCCGGCACGCTTCGCCTGCTTCGTCGCCAGCTTCGGCGAAGCAGCTCTGCACATGCGCGGTTTTACGTCGTTCAGAGACTCGTGAGCGCAAGCGACGGAGTCAGCGCTGTCAATCATGGTCAGGGCTCCCAAAGGGGGGTTTGGTGTGGGGACCACGTGGTAATTGCTTCCCTCAAGCCAATTCATGCGCTATGTGAAGCTTATCTTGAGCAAAAGTGTTGAAATTGTTTTTATTTTTTGTGTGGGGAGGGAGGGGAATTGTTTTCGTCTGAGTGTAGTAATTGAAACGGTGGCTTTTTTTGTTTTTTGGTCAAATCCTTCAACCTGTCTTTCACGCCGCAGTGCGAATGGGTAAACCAGAGTTAGTCAATCAGCACATCGGACACGGTGGGGTAAAGTGTGGGTGCCTCCCACTTCTAAGACGTCTGCACAGCTTGCAACAGTAGACAAAATAACCTCTTTGCAATGGGATGAGAAATAATTTGCAGGGCTGAACCTTGAGCCTTATTTTTACTATGTATATTTCCATTATACTGGAAAGCTAATCCGCATTTCTTTTGATGCAGATATCTTGGTGGGGACACAAAGGCTTGGGTCTCAGCAGTTGCAAGGATTTCATTTGTCCATTGTTATCATTTATAGCCATTGAACATGTCAAACAGGCATCTCCTTTTTTCCTTTGTGTGTATCCTAGCATTTTTTTAAAATCTTTGTTTGCATTAAATCCCCTTTTCTCCATTTACTTTAGCAGAATGTATTCAAGAAGCTTTGTACATTGTGTGGGAATATGTCTAGAATTATCCTTAATTTAATATTTTAGACAAATCAGCACTGTAGCATATTATCTTCGCCAAGCCTATTTCTCAACTTCCCTAAAACGGAATTGACTCATGATACGTGCATCGAATAGCAACTATAATAATTAAGATTTTTCTTGAATTATTCAATTTATATGGATAAATTAACTCAAGATGAACTACCACACAAACTACAAAGCTAAACTATGGAACAATTACATATTAAACAGGCAATCGGTTAATCTTCTTGGTTCTTTCGGTAAAGTCACGTAGAAGGGAAATAATAAAATAATAAAAATACAACATAATAAAATAAAATAATGTGTTATTTTTATTATTTTGTTATTTCCCTTCTACGTGACTTTACCGAAAGAACCAAGAAGATGAATCCCTGCAGTCACAAAAGCTTTAAATCGAAAATTAAAGGCAATCGTTTGACTAGTACTCAAATATAAACAGATGAGGATATACATAAAATGCAATTCCAAGTATTATACCACGTCTTAATTTTGGAGCTTTCGTGACTGCAGGAATTATTCTTTGGTTCTTTCGGTAAAGTCACGTATAAAGATAAAATAATAAATTAAATAATAGCATACTACGACGTTTCGATTGCAACACAAGCAATCATCATCAGGTATAAAAGAAATAGCAACAAAAATCTAACCAGAAAACTATAGACAGACATATAAGCAGACAGATATCACAAAGATACACAGAGAGAGAGCATGAAACGTCGTAGTATGCTATTATTTAATTTATTATTTTATCTTTATACGTGACTTTACCGAAAGAACCAAAGAAGTTATACCACGTGTTGTTGTTGTTGTTTGCCATGACATCCGACGTTTCGCCGAACGTGCTGCGAGCCTCATCGGGAAAATCACTTCAGACAGAGAGTAAAGCGCACAGAGAGGAGCTCCCAAACAACGCGGTTGAGAGGCTGTGAAACGTCGAACTTCGCGCCGAAAGCCTAACTCACGGGCAACAACCCGGACCTCACCCCGTGTTGGCGGCTTGCGCGTCGGACGCCCCGAGACCTCGCTGCGGCTTGATCGTCGGCAGGAGCAGCACTTCAGCAGCGAGCAGGTCTGCTCCAACCTCGTCCTGCACTCGCCCTCGCCTGTGGGGTAGGCGAGCCCGTGCCACCCTCGGCCGCTGCTCGGCTGTCATCCTCTCTCCATTATCAGACACCTGACACCCCGAACAGAGAGAGAGATCTTTAAGTGGCTGGGCGGTGCGAGCGCATGGGGACAGAATGAGAGTCGAGGCTACGATCAATATCGCCCACGCTGTGAGGCGCGCGCGCTTGCAGGAGTCAAGCAGCATCCGGTGTGCACATTGCGACGGAGTATTTCAAGTAATTTTTTTTTCCCGAACACTTTGCTTGCTTCTTTAACAGCACATCAGCAATCTCTTCTTGGTTCTTTCGGTAAAGTCACGTTGTGGCCCAAACGTCGTGAGAATTATTTTATTATGTTTTATTTTTATTAGTTTATTACTTCCCTTCTACGTGACTTTACGGAAAGAACCAAGAAGATGAATCCCTGCAGTCACGAAAGCTTTAAATCGAAATCAGCAATCTCGTTAATTGTTCTTTTTTTAGAATAAGAGCCAGTTTGTGCAAGTTGTAATCTTTTAAGATAATTGCAGGAAATTGATATGGAACGCGTACCTTTCCAAGGGTGTCATCTGCAATAATTCCTGTAAAATATAAACACTTCATAATTATATTTTCTAGGCTATGATATCTTCACGATGTCTGAGAGAGAAAAAAAAAACAGTTTCATGTAAAACGTATCCATAATATGAATGCATATTGTGCCAATGTTACATGACAACATGGGTATGTCGCATGAGGTTATGCAAATTATTTTGAAATGATGACGATGATGACCACAATGTGACTGGATGTCAAACGTCAAACACTGCACGGGTTGGAAGACAGTGTCAGACAGAGGGAGATGGGTCGGAGCACTGCTATGCTATTATTTGGCTTCTATAAATTTCCACACAATAATGCACTTTATTGAGCTATCATTTTGCCATGTTGCTTCTGATAAAAGAACTGCATAGCTCAGTGGACCTTACCTGGTAAAATAAAGATTATTTTATTATGTTTTATTTTTATTATTTTATTATTTCCCTTCTACGTGACTTTACCGAAAGAACCAAGAAGATGGATCCCTGCAGTCACGAAAGCTTTAAATAGAAAAATAAATATAGTTTATAATAGGTTTACCCCCTTTTTTCAGGCAACAAAACAGGTGTGAAGATGTTATAACACCAAACTGAAACATTTAACGAGGAATCATGTCTGCATTAACCACAATGCTTGTGGTCAAAATGGGAAAAAAACGTACTCTAAAAATATATGCATTGTCCTGGAAACTGATTGGTCCACACCAGAGACAGCTTTCTTTAGAGCCTCGTCTCAAACGGCCTCCTTTGGTCCAACACCGAGACGAGGCTCAAGAGAAAGCTGTCTCTGGTGTGGACCAATCAGTTTCAAACACAACGCATATGCATGTATTATCAGAGTATGTTTTTTGTTTGCATTCTGACCACAAGCATTGTGGTTAATGCAGACATGATTCCTTGTAAAAAAAGGTTTTAGTTTGGTGTTTTAACATCTTAACACCTGTTTTGTTGCTAGAAAAAAGGGCGAAAACCTATTATCATATTTTGGTACTGGCAAAGGAGGTCCCATGTTCATGATAGTTTAGTTTAATAGGTGCCGGTGTAAAGGCAATGGTCATGGTTTAATGGCAAATGATGCCCAGGGACTGGAAGAGGTAGACCATAGTGTGTGCAATATTAATTTACTTAAAATAAAAGCAAGCGGTCTATTTAAACTGCCAAGGGGCTGTTTAAATTCGTGGCATCTTCACTTATCGTGAACCCCGTGCGAATTCCGACCGCTAATATTTCACACTTTAAAGTAATAACCACGACACTGCATTCCCACACTCGAGTTTTGCGTTCCGATGCCGGGGAAATATGTACACAGAGCACCAGGTATTCTTGCCCAATAACCCCATCCACCCCGAAAATATATGCTCAAATATGATTAACAACGTATTTGGAGAAAAGTCCCCTCGTTTTTGGGGGGGGGGGGGTTTCGCGAGACACGCATAATTTGTGTGTGTGTGTGTGTTGTTTGCAAACGTGAAGCGAGTCGTTGTGTGCAGCGTGATTTATTAATCAGATGCCACCGTAAGCTATAAAGATTGAAATAATGCAATATTTCTAGGAGTTTATAGATAAAGCACACACGCTTTCCTTCGGGGTATATTCCATGGCAGTTGCTGTACTTCAAAGGGCTTTACATCATATTTAAACAATACTAGCACACACACAAAATAATACTCCACATTTCTTGCAGTCATACATCATTCTCGCTGGGGACAGCTTGTCCACACGGAGGTCGTACGTTTTATATATGTGTGTGTGTGGTTATTCAAGAAATAAATGCGCCCCATGGTAATGGTAAAATAGGAACATTTAGAGCGCATTAATTTCTATCACGTGTGAAAAAAGTACGTTTGAAATTGCCACAAAGCACAATATTGCAAACCTTGGAAATATGTTTAAAATACTGTAGATTCCAATTAAAATTGATATACTTCATAGCATTTCAAGTCATACTCATTTCCGAGCGCTACACTTTTGAGGCATTACCGACACGTACTGTCAGCGATAAAGTGAAGAGCAATCTAAACATTGTCAAAGCGAAATATTGGCATCGTGGGCACATTCCATGCATTACGTAATTGCCCCTTCATTGCATGCATAATCAAAATTGCCAAGTAAATAATGCATACCAACAGAGGCTCACCTGCTTATAAATAATGTGTACGTATTGATTATTTAATGGCGTATATGCGAGCCCTGCAAAAGTACAACCTACGGTCGTTCAAAGCACGTGTCCTCTCATGCCTCCGGTCTGCTCTCATTTAATAAACCTGCTCTCCCCTGCCCCATGGAGTTTTGCATTTATTCATGATGCAGAAAGGTACTCTGACTGCCTGCCCCCCAGCCCCCCACCCCTTCCGAAGGCTCAACACCCCCTTACAATACTAATAGGGTTTTTCCCCTTTTTTCTGGCAACAAAACTGACACCTTTTGCAAGGAATCATGCTTACATTAACCACAATACTTGCAGTCAAATGGCGTCATCTGGTCGAACACCATATGAGACTAGGCTCTAAAGAAAGCTGTCTCTGGTGTGGACCAATCCGTTTCAAAGACAATGCATGAATTATCAGAGTATTGTTTTTTGTTTGCATTTGACTGCAAGTATTGTGGTTAATGTAAGCATGATTCCTTGCAAAGGGTGTCAGTTTTGTTGCCAGAAAAGAGGGGAAAACCCCTATTAGTATATGTTGGCACTGGCAAAGGAGGTCCCATGATGGACCCCCTTACAATTTCTAATTGTGAACGTGAACAAAAAATACGGGATAACATTTAACACCATTTGCTAGCTCGTTTTCAAAGCTCAGCAGTTCAGCAAACCAGAATTCCCGATAGCCCAAAGCAGACCACATCGTTACTCATCTCTATTGTTTATATATATAGCATCCATATGCAGCCGCATCTCCGTATTATCCGTAAGCTTTACAATGCAAGGAAAATTTGAGAAGACGAATCAATTGTGCACAAACGCGGTGCTCACGGCGCGTGAAATTAATCAGTGGATATAGTTATTCGACAGGGCCGCCCAGAGGGTTGGTGGAGTTGGAGGCCCGGGAAAGAATACCGCTTGCGTGGGACCTTACTTTTGTGTGAGATTCAGAGCTAACGACTCCTTTTGCCAACTCCTCGGTGTCCCTGGCCTGATAGAGCAAGTACGTCTTCAGTCTGGACCTAAACCACAACAGTGTCAACTGCACGACGTTCAAGTGATTACGAGTTCCAGCTCAGGAAAGCAGCATCCAAGAAGCAGCAACCCTCCCCCTCACCCCCCTTCGTTTGCGGCCGTCTGGAACGCTCTTCCGTTCCATATTAGGAAGCCACTGGAGCTACGCACTTTCAAATAATCGAAACTGAAAACTCATTTCTTTAGAACTGATTTTTTTATGTTTATTTTGTTGTCTTTCCCCCGCACCTCCGATTATCACGTTTGGCTACATACGGTGCGAACGAAATTCAACATACATGCGTACATGTCCAGATGCAGTGTGCCAGGGATAATCAGGATTCCACATTATCTACATAGTGTGATGCACAATGTAGATTTGACACTGTAACATTTCGTTGTTCATGCTGACGCTGATCACAGGTGTGCTCTCGTATGTTTGTTGACAATGACTGTGTCGTGACCACCCCTCCCCCCCAAGTGTGTGTGTACGGACCCCCCCCCGCCTCCTTTTAATAGGGTCAATGCTGCCGCTGACCTGAAGTGTGCTCTCGGAGGGTCTTGTCCAGCCACTGGCACTCTCTCAGAAGACGTTGCAGCTCAGTGAAGGCCATGTCCCCTTCCTTTGCAGCGCTGCAATCCCGGGACGAAGGCTCCAGAGACTGGGACACTACGGATGAGGAGCACACGCACACGCACACACGCACACACACACACGCGCACACACACACACGCACACACGCACACACGCACACACACACGCACACACACACGCACACATACCCACGCAAGCACGCGCATCATTAAATGTGTGAACGGGAATTAGACCAAAAAGAGACAATGTTTTTGGCCGGTTCTTTTTTCTTATTGTGATACTGCAGTTGGCCATTCGTGCACCAGCACGAATGCAACTATACACTCTGCCATGAAGAGGAATAAAAGACATAATAAATGACGTCTCACGTAATGGCCTGCTTTACAGCCGAGAGATCAAAGATAAGTATAACATGAGTACATTTGGTAATCGTGCAATTCTTATCGGGAAAAGGCTATCAATAGCCACTATATTTCACCGGCGCGCATATTCGGCAAGAGTTTCGGCACGGGGGTGGTATTATCATGTGTTTTTACCCATTTACGCAATTTGTCAGCGATTTGAAAATCTGGCATACAAGGATCGTGTACTTTATTAGGGTAAATTACAGCAAAAACCATCAGATATGAAACAGAATGTGCTGACTTGGTCTGGCTTCTGAAGAGGCAGGACTTAGGCAAGATACGGCCAGTTCGCTCTTGGACTTCCTGGGTTTCTTCGTGTGGTCCACACACAGCGTCACGTACGTTCTGAACGGATTTCCTTTCGGGCTGCTCTCTGAAAGAAAAAAAAAGTAATTGGAGTAAATATTTCAACACCTTCAATCACGTCCACTTGAATTATCTCCGATTAAAAACAAATATTTCTTACTACGTGCTGCAAATCAGTGTGCGAATTCAGGCTAAGATAACGGTTTTTCGTTTCTCGTCTTTCCATCAAGACGTTTAATTCATTATCAGGCAGACAAACACACCAGGCCACGTGTTTGAGCGGTAACGGGAGGGGTTTGCGATTGGGGATCGACCACGGCACATTATTCAGCAGGTGTTGATACGAAAACATTAGGAGCCACATTGCGCTGGGGTAACGTGGAATTTCCACCACTGGCTCAGGGCTGTAAACGAGAGATGATCTCTGCCCCCATGCTCGTGTGAGCAGAGAAAACAGTGGCTTTTTTTCTTGAAAAATATACAAAAAGACAACTAACCAGATTTGCCAATGAAATTTTTACGTTTTAGAATTATTTTGGCATCCTCAATACAAATTACGGCTCAACGCTACTTATTTTTAAATATTTTTTTGGTTCTCAAAAATTCACTCCAAAAGCAGGAAGACACAGGAAGGAACCTTTTGCAAGGCAAACGAGAGCTTATGACTGCCTCTGGAGTTCATGCCCCTCTGCTCGTTCATAGCAAGCACCATGGGGTGTTTGATGTCTGCATAATAATAACGGTGCCGATGAAATATTAACGCGCACGTGACTTATGCAACGTTTTTTCCATTTTTTTAAAGTAATTAAATGTTAGCTTGACCCGGGCAACATGCGAGGTTTTGTGAACCTTTAATTGCTTATTTTTGAAAGCAGAAGGATACAGACAATTCATTATAGCACAATAAAGTGGTGATACACGATTATGTTTGGGCATTATAGCTAGCACTACCATTGTGTAACGGTGAGAACACTGGACCTGCAATGCAGAGGTTGCTGTTTTGATCTCTTGCCGTGGCAGTTTTTTTTTAAAGTGTTTTTGTCTTGCACGCGAGCCCGGTACAATGTACCAATCGCAAACGGAGGGGGAGAGAAGCGCCGCCAAAAGCATCTTGAATTCGGCACGGCAGGACTTTACGAAGGGGAGAAATTAAATATTAGTATGTTTTTGTTACTAACTAACAAGTTTGCATCTCAGAAGAGTCCTGGCCACAAACGATAGCTCAACGACGTGGCTTATCACGTGCAAATTGATGGCAGCCAAATTACTCTTCATGAAACGAATATTTCTAAATGTGGATGGGGGAAAAAAACACGAGGACCAGGAGAAAAATCCACGTGACCACGGGGAGGGAGACATGCAAACTCCAAATATACAGCAGGCGTCAGGGTCGGGATCAAACACCCAGTCCCATTTACAGCAGCCGCACCTTTACAGCAGCCGCACCTTAATAACTCTGGTACCTCCCAGTTCAACCGGTCTACACAACAAAGACTCATTCCTAGCAGCGGCTTCAGCCGCACCAACCTCACAATAATAATAATACAAAACTCCTATCCAGGTGCCTGCCTTGACTCCTCCCACCCTCAACCAGTATATATACAAGGACGGGTCTCTTGGAATTTCTTTCACTTGATACAGCTATCGTGCTGTGACGGTTCCACCTGAAGACGGAGGCTTGTGTTGCCTCCGAAACGTCGTGATTTTTATTTTATTTTTATTTTACTTTTATTAATTTTAATTTTTTACCTACGTGACTTTACCGAAAAAAACCTAAGAATATGAACCCACGTACCTCCTGCATGCCAGGCGAGGGAGTTAACATCTCGCATCACATCTTCCGAGGCATCTGGCCACAGGGTGGAAGAGTAGGCCAAACTATGAGTTCCTTCTAGCGGAGGCCATACCACCAGCCAATGGTGTGAGCAAGCCATTGAAGAGCTCACCTCTAAGTGGTAAATTACGTGAATCCATCTGTACGGCTACTGCACAGAGAAGTGATATGATAAGCAGTGATTGCCTGGCAGGTGGCTGCTTTCGGCCCAGAGAGCAGCAAATCCAGCCAGGTCTCGGCGTGGAGACCCCTCTGTGAACGTCCTCTTGTGTTGCCTGCCTTCCAAATGCTCGATCAGGAACGGGATGGGCTCGTCCGGAGTCTCCGTGATCAACATCGTCATCATGTCCTGCAAGCGCAGATGTTTTGGGAGTCAGTCGGAGTTATTCTCGCCAGCTGTTCCATCAATACAGAACATCTGTCTGGTCCAATTCTAACGCCCCCCCGCCCCCCCAACCATCCATAAACAAACCCCAAGCTATTTTTGGTTTTATTATTATTTTTTATTTTTTCATCTACGTGACTTTACCGAAAAAACTAAAGACTATTTTTGGTTTCAAAATAAAGCCACTTTTTTACGTAATATTGTTATAAATGATTTGGCCAAAATAATTTTAAGTGGGTTTTTTTCTTTCGAAAATAATAACATCGCCAGGAAGCTGTTGTAAAATGTCCAAAGAGGGTTCTATTACATCTTAAGTCGGATTTCGCAGGCAGTGTGCATGCCATATACTGGCTAACAACTAAATTATACATGCTCTGGCCAATGTCCAAATAAAGCCAGGGAATGGTTTTCACAAGTCTTCTTCGGACACACAGAAATAGCCTGAACGCAACAAGCATACGTTCCCGGGAGAAAATGTGCAGTTTGACAATCGTACAAATTATTCATAGACGTTCCACTTTCTGTTACGAGCCATCACCTTGGGATGAAAAAGTCACAAGGCACGTTGTGGAACGGACCATTGTGTGTAATAAGCGAGTGTATATTTCTATTTGAATGGCTTTGAAGCAATCAATAAAATATACTGCACCGATTTTCTCACACGTGAGAACATTTTAGGCGAATACCATTGGGTAAAAAAAAATTGTTCAGAACCACAAAAAAGGCCACACATTTTCTTGGTTCTTTCGGTAAAGTCACGTAGAAGGGAAATAATAAAATAATACAAATAAAACATAATAAAATAATTCTCACGACGTTTCGGCCACAACGCAAGCAGCCGTCCTCAGGTGAAGAACAGTGTCAGACACTGTCTTTCTGACAGACCTGTTCTTCACGTGAAGACGGCTGCTTGCGTTGTGGCCGAAACGTCGTGAGAATTATTTTATTATGTTTTATTTGTATTATTTTATTATTTCCCTTCTACGTGACTTTACCGAAAGAACCAAGAAGATGAATCCCTGCAGTCACGAAAGCTTGAAATCGAAATTTAAGCCATATTGTTAAAACGTGCTTTACATACAAGGAAGTAATGGAAATATGATATTTTCCTATGAATATAAATATATAGTTGATAAACATGTGTATCTATATAATAAATGGTACATGTGATGATATTGTCAAGACATAAACACACCTGCACACACACAAATGTGCAGTATTAGAATAATGCGTAATATTTATATGAATAAGAAATGCACAAATCTAAGTCTACTTTACAACTATATTATCAAGGATGGCCATATACGTTTTCTGAGAAAATATTTAACGCTTAAAGGAAAACCCAATATGCAGATAACTTCAAAGCTCCAAAGATACATAGTATTCACGCAGATGAATTATTAGTGTTGCGCTGTGCAGACTTTTAAGTTTACCTTTGGCTAGGACACACACCACACACAATGCATTTATATTTCTATAGACAACGACTCTAGAGGAAGAATGGAATCATCGGAACTGAGTGTCAACATTTGTCTTGCTGCACTTGGGCAAAGACGTGTAGCCCAGTTCAATGCTGCCATCTCAGTTTCAACAAAGGGCATCTTTTAAATAATGCTGAAACGTGTTTAGTCTGTCTCACATTCTGCTTATCGTTGTGAAATCTGCGGTATCCTTGTGGGACATTAGCATTCACACACCGTTGGTCGAAAAATCCGCATTAATTTTACATTTCAGTGGACAGGCACTGGTCTTCGACATGCAACGATACACCGATGTTTCGCTCAACATTCAAAATTCCGCAAATCCCGGAGTCAACCCGAGCAGAAATAAAAAAACACAACCCATGCCGTTGCAATTTAGACTTCGCTCGGTATGAAGCTGCTTTGGTATTTGGTGGAGCAGTATTTTAAAATTTAGACATTTATCTTGATAAATTCACCGTTAGGTGAGGGTAATTGCATTTAGGAAAATGCGACGAAGATGAAAAGCGCTTGCGAAAGCAAAGCTTGTATTTTATAGTCATCTTTTGCAATAAATTCTACAAAGTAATACACAATTATATGATATGAAATATTTTGGAAAAGTAAAGCATTATTTGCCGTTTGTGGACATCACGAGTTGACATCGGATTGTAATGCAACGCAACTCAATGAAGGATGTGGCATTTTAAAATATTTTTAATGGTGTGGATCGGTGGAAGGGTAGTTTGTAGGGGGGTGGGGGGGAGGCGCACGTGGGGGGGGGGGGGAGGCGCACGTGGGGGGTTGGGCATCTGAACCCCCTTCCTTCACCAAATCGTACCGACCAGCTGGGTGAAGTTTGCTTGAAGGACCGCCATGCCCAATATGGCATGGCGAGGGCCTTCATCCAGCAGTGAATTGACAAAGTGCCGTAAATGATTAGTATGCACAAACAAAATAACTTGAACGAATTATAAGTGTATGTGGATTTATTTAGTTACATTTTAACTTTCATTGGTTTCATGTGTGCTATGAGCACACCCTGCACGTTTTTCTTCGAAATTACGAAAGCTCAATTATTTCAAAAAAAAATTTCCAAGGTCAACATTTGACCTTTCTCATAAAATGCTTCCAGATACATTTGAATAATGATGGGGGGGGGGGGTTTGTCGGAGGGGGGGGGGGGGGTTCATACATAAAACGGCGTAATTATCTATTGGTAAAGTTGTAATTTGGTGAAACGGATAGTTAATCAATGACACAGATCGACAGATTTTAACCTCGAATGAGAACCTTGTCACGTTGAGAATCTCTTTAAACGACCGTGTAATTGATATCGTTCCTAATTGCACGGCCACCTCGAAACGCAACTGTGGCAATAGCCGCGCAGAAACATTTTACAACAAAATACACAAACACTCATCGCACCTCCACGTGAGTGACACATCCCAATTCTGTTGCACGTGGCATTAAAATGCCCTCGCCACTTCGGACAATGTCCGTCTTGCCGGAGCATCACCTTCTGCCACTTCGTATCCAGTTCTTTTGCACACCGCCCTCTCGCACACTTTGTGGCACGGGCATCTCGCGGTCAACAGCTGGGTACGATTTAAATTTCGATTTAAAGCTTTCGTGACTGCAGGGATTCATCTTCTTGGTTCTTTCGGTAAAGTCACGCAGAAGGGAAATAATAAAATAATAAAAATAAAACATAATAAAATAATTCTCACGACGTTTCGGCCACAACGCAAGGCGCTCTTCCCCCTCCAACCCAGCTTAAATATACGCTGCCAAGCCTGGTGGTGTTTCATTCAGACGCTGTCTTTCCGACAGACCTGTTCTTCACCTGAGGACGGCTGCTTGCGTTGTGGCCGAAACGTCGTGAGATTTATTTTATTATGTTTTATTTTCATTATTTTATTATTTCCCTTCTGCGTGACTTTACCGAAAGAACCAAGAAGATGAATCCCTGCAGTCACGAAAGCTTTAAATCGAAATTTAAATCGTACCCAGCTGTTGACCGCGAGATGCCCGTGTTAAAAAGTGTGCGCGATGTGCAAGCGACGGCCGACCCAAAGTGACAGTGGAAAAACTCAAGTCCGCGCTGCTGAATGGGAGGATGTTATGGCCATTTGAAACGTGACATGCCACCCATCGATCATCTCAATTTCGCAGTATTTGTAATGTTCACCTCGACTATATTCTTGGTTCTTTCGGTAAAGTCACGTAGAAGGGAAATCATAAAATAATAAAAAATAAAACATAAAAAGATTAAATTCTCACGACGTTTCGGCCACAACGCAAGCAGCCGTCCTCAGGTGAAGAACAGGGCTATCAGAAAGACAGCGTCCTAAACATTCACCTCGACTCTTGAAAACACAAAACCGCACGCTTAAATTAATGCGTAATGTACACGAAACCGAATGCAATGGCGTTTGGCACAACCGTGTTGCCTTAATGTTATGCATAAGGCAAGCGCCTTTCAAACAATGGTTCATTATTTATAGTGGTTTTTAGGAGGAAAAAACGACGAATTTATTCATCTTTTTAAGGAGGCAAGCATTTAAAACGTAGCCAGTTTTTCCTTTAATTCAAATAAGGCCTCACAACACATTCAAATTAAAACTAAAACAGAAGCAAAAGTTGCATTTGATAAGTCGCAAATTTTTAAAAAATATCACAAAGAGAAAAAAACTGCTTTGAATAGTTAAACACTCTGCAATCATACCTGCGAGCAACACAGTGTACATCTCTGTGTGTCTTGTACAGATCAGCAATAATACAGAGAATATATGCCACCAAAAAAACCCCATTAATTATTTGACAATAATAATTCAATATAATAACGAAACAGACACGCGCACACAGTCACAGTAGGATGCGATGCTGCGCCGGTAAACCAGACGGATTGTGCGAACATACCTCAAACAGCGATCCGATCCTGTGCCTTTGCAAGTACGCCTGCAACCTTTCCTGTGACATCTCTTCCGACAACTCTCGCGATCACCTGCATTTGATAGGGGGGTGGGTGGGTGGTGGGTGGGTAGAGGGTGCGGAAGCACTGGGACTCAAACACACAAAAGCATCGGCTACTGCTGCTGCCGTTCCTCCTGCGCGTTCATCCTAAGAGATGCAAACAGGACCGCGTGCACAGCCCCACACACGCGCACACACACGCGCGCGCACAGACGCCCCGCTTGGGCAGAGCGGGTAATGAAGATTGCAGCTGCTGGACTATTGAAGGGAGAGGAGAGAGGAGGGGGTGGGGGGGGTACCTTTAGGTGATCTGCTCATCAAGCATGCTACGCTTAGAAGAACATCATTTATCCAGATGCCAATACAATTTCCTATGAGCAATGTGTTCCACTGCTCAAGAATATGTTTATGTTTTATTCATTTATTATTCATTAGACGAGTGCATAGGGCTATGTGACATCCGTTGGGCGTATGCGATTTTGACATTGATGTTGCACGTGGACATATTTTGTCGTTGCCATCGTCATCATTGTTATTATCAATAATATTAGCGATGGTCAAAGCACTGCTGTATGAAGAATTGCCCGAGACACCGCTGCCTTGCATGATCCTACGATGCACTAATCCACATGGCGCCTGAACACAAAACTATTTAATTTCTGTAGCTTGCACAGCGGGCATCCCCACGTTTCATTCCTTGGCTGTCACACTATTATTATATTTGACCAAAAAAACGTCTTTATCATCGTATATATGTGTATATATATATATCTGTACATATACAAGTGTATTTTTTTGGGGCCAAAATAATAAGACAAAAGTGTCATACAAATGAAGCACTTCCTTCGACTTCTGTAGATCGTGCTTGCTGCTGGAAGAATACAAATCTATAAATAACCTGACGTATTGCAGCCCGCTAGAGATACAGCCCATATTCCCAGGCACTCGCTGCTTCACTGCGCGAATATACATTGAATGTGTAATGACACAAGTCAAATATATAATGAACGATTCATTTTGCAGAGATTTTTTCGATGCAACTCTTGATCTATAAAAAAAACTACGGAATTGTAAACATAGCAGATAAGCACAGTGAGTATTCTAAGTATTGTTGACAAATGCATTGATTTCCCACTGTGTGTGGGTTCTGGTGTGACAGAGTTAACAAACAGGAAACAGCAGGAGGTGCAAACTCGGCATTACTCAATAGCCCTGGGATGATAAAAACAAGATTGCACCTTGGTAATGGGGTGATGGTTTTTGCTCAGAGGCCCAATTTATTTCAAATTTGGTCTCACAAGCCCATAAGGATAGTAATTACGGACGGAAATAGGGGCTTCGATCCTTATATTTTTCCCCTTCTTCCTGACACCGGAGCTCTTGAAACAACCACCGTCAGTGGTTTTGCCAATACGACTGCGCATCCGACGCTGCGTGCACTTTACCCGATGATGATGACGCTTCTGTGGCCACGTGCCAAACTGAAATGAAATGGAACATTCAAGACGAGAGAGAAGGACTTACATTTTTTTTAAGGGGGTACGGGGGTGGGGTGGGCGAGTGGCAAGTCTTCTGAGATTATTTGCATGAATCAAAGCAACGGACAGCACTGTTTTAAAAGAGAAGCTGACCTTACAGACGGCTATCACATCACACCCGGAGTGGATTTCAAGGAGTGACAAAAGGGTACCGGTGCTACGGCGAGGAAGCTATTTCAGACACGGATGGAAATTGCAAGTGTCTCACACGAATGTCGAAATATGTAACACTACTGCTTTGAATTTTGATTTAAAGCTTTCGTGACTGCAGGTATTCATCTTCTTGGTTCTTTCGGTAAAGTCACGTAGAAGGGAAGTAATAAAATAATATAAAAATAAAACAATACTAATTCTCACGACGTTCCGTCGTGAGACGTTTCGTCGTGAGAATTTTTATTGTTTAATATTTATATTATTTTATTATTTCCCTTCTACGTGACTTTACCGAAAGAACCAAGAATACTACTGCTTTGATGTACATTTTATGTGGGGACTATATTCAATGTCGAGGCAGATTCAAATGAAAACAAGAAAGTCTGGAGGCTGCAGAACATAACATATTAAATGTGCAACCCTCCCAGAATTGCGATATGCCTAAGAACAAACACACGCAAGGGTACATTGTGATCTGAAGTGTTGTCGGTGTTGATCGGCACGACGTCCAACGTTTCACTCCGCATGCTCGCAGATTCTCTAGTAAGCAAATACTCAATATCGGACATTGTGCTGAACAGCACGTGGTCACAGTCAGAAAACACATCAGAGAGGGATGCAGCACGGCTGTGACAAGCTACACAGTAGCAGGTACGGTGTATTGTTGTAAAACGTACAGAGCTCTGGAATACGCAGTCTTGGATTCGAAACCAGGTCCCAAGAGGCCAATGCCAAGAGTCATGAGGCCAAGGCGAGGAAGCTTGTGTGGATAGAGGCATGTGCCAAAGCCAATCAATGCAGGGTCACCTTGGCTGGCTGATTAGTTACAGTGATAAAAGCTCATATTGCATTATGAAAAGTGTGAAACACTCTGAAATAAATGGATAACTTACATCTAATTGAATTTGAGGAGAAAAAAATGTATATTTTGGGAAAACATATTTTTTTTTCACCAATAAAAATTAGCAATCGATCACTATTTAGACATTTTATGAAGGTTATCGTTGTGACAAATGACACGTGACCAGTTTGAAATCATGAGACTCAAGCCCTTGAAGTCCTTGAACCAAACCTATCGGCCGCAAGCTGAGAAGATGTCCTCGGGACTGGAAATATGTGACAAGTAATTGATCAATAATCCTGCCAATGATATTAAGAGGATGCGTCTGTGGAGGATGTTAGCCTACAGCGCAGAAAGCAGCTCCCCAAAAATCGTGCAAACACGAGGTGTGTATGCAATCATCGGTGATAATTCATGTGTGTACTGTTGATCATCGATAATTATCCAGCACGCGATTATTCGATTCCCAAAATTATCCAGTGGTTCGATTCGGCAAAGCCACTCCAAATGCTGCAATCAGTCTGGCGATCGACGAAAAAAAGTATCTCTGCTTGATTTCAGTGTTAAATATTTTATGTACAGTACATTATACACTACATACAACTTACAGCATAAAAAAACTGCACGCATATACGTATATCACCCCACGCAGTCTTCGATATATGAGCTGCAAGTACGGTACAGTAACTTTTTAAAGTAGGATATTTACTTATAGTATGTTTATTTATGCCAATTGCACATAGTAAACACATTTAAAACACTAAAAAAACATATAACAACACCTAAAAACATAATGTCATGCAAGAATATGCAAAAATAAGATGTTTAAAATAATGATGATTGGTGATTATCTGACGATTTTTTTAAATCCGACGCTCCCTACCCCCCGAAGCCGCCGGATAATCGATTATCTACTGTGTGTAGATTATCGATTATAATCGATTATCTACTGTGTGTAGAACTTCTTTTGCACCGTACGGAGCCAACCCTTGCAACCATTAAACGTCAAATTAATCATACCAGCATCTAATATCTGCAGACAGTGACGTTACACTCTGACCACATGTCAAGGAATGTGCCCGTTAAAACGAATGGATGTTTAAATTGAAAGGCGAGTCAACGTGCTAAGCTTGGCGATGCTGTGGGCGATAATCTTAAAAGAACCTCCCAGCACGAGTGCAATCGCTGCTTGACTTTGCTTCTTCCGCTGGTTTCGCTGCTTCAAGATGTTGCTTCAAGATACAGGATGCTTGTGGGGAGAATAAAGAAATATTTAAAGCTCATCGGATTCCTCCAGAATAAATAAATATTCCGATTCTGATGTTCAACAAGTTCCCTGAACACAACAAAATAAATAAATGGATGGACACGAATAGGAAAACCACAAAAGAGTATACGTACTTAGGCAGTGCCTAATTTCAGCCGGAACATTCCGGAATGCTGCTCCAAGGAATTATTTTGACACGCCACATCCATCATGCCTCGTGTTGTCTGTAGTCTGTTCATGGGATTATAGGAATGTATGGTAGAATATTATAGGATAATGGATACGCGTACCTTATTTTATAGTGGTAGTGTACTCTTCGGTTTTTTTCGGTAAAGTCACGTAGGTAATTTAAAAAATTATAATAAAATAAAATAATAATAAATTAAAATTACTCAATTAAATCACGACGTTTCGGAGGCAACACAAGTCTCCATCTTTTTAAATCCTTAATATTAAGTTCGCTTGCTTGCTTGCGTGCTTGCTTACGACCGTGCAAATCTTTCGGTCGTTTTTTAACCCACTTCTCGTGATCCAATCGAGCTGACATTTTCCACACAGACTCGTTGTGCCAGACAATTATTATTCGTGAAAAAAAATTCCCAAAATTTTACACTTTTTAGGCAAAAAAAAAATATTTTACATATATTCAAAAGAACTCATTCTTGGCTTTGGCTGAACGTCACAGTGTAGGAGCCCAGAGCGTAACCCCTCCACAGGCCGTGGCGGAGTAGCGCAGTTGGTAGCGCCCTCGCTTCCCATGCCAAAGGTCGCACGATCGATCCCCGCGTCCTCCACAGGCGAATATATTTTTAAATCCTTTATATTAAGTTCGCTGCCACGCATATAAAGGATTTATAGTGAAAAACTTTGTTTTTACGGGTTATACTTATTACCTACGTGACTTTACCGAAAAAACCTAAGAGTATGAATCCTTGCAGTCACGAAAGCTTCAAATCTAGAAATGGTGGTAGTGCCTTCCACCGATAATCTTCTACTACAAGGCAGCCGAGCAATGTTCTGTAGAATATCGAGTCAGAAAATGTAACCTTCTATTTAGGGCAATTATTTATGGTGGAAAGGTTGTAATTATGAACTACGGCCAGGTCAATATGTGGTACTTTTGGAAATGTTTTATAGATAATGAAGAAAATTTTCAATCAGTGTGCATTACCCTCCACGATGAAGGGATGAGAAACACGTATGCTGACAAACATATTGGCACAAACGTTTAAAGGAGTAAAAAATATGGATAGGTACATGCTTGGACGTACAATAAAAGACATAAAGAAACAACCAGATCATAGAACATGAGTTGGAGATTCTAGATTTGAAGCTTTCGTGACTGCAAGGATTCATACTCTTAGTTCTTTCGGTAAAGTCACGTAGGTAAAAAAT